GAATCCCATCGGAGGGGCTGCCTTTGGCTCTGGCCCCAGCTGGAGGTGACATTTAACCCTTTTGTTGCCCAGAGCCAGAGGCTCCAGTGAAGCTGGAGAACGTGGAGGTGTCCAGCCAGGGCAGGCTGGCACTGCAGCTGCGTGAGGCCAAGAACAAGAGTAAGTCGGGGTGGGGGAGACACACGAGCAGCGGGGATCCAGCCCCACAGGCAGGCAGGGCGCTCAGCACCAGCTGGATGGCTTTGCTGCTGCCCTGCCAGAAGGCACAGAAGGAGCACGGTGTGCATGTCCCCAGGGTCTGACGGCTCTATGTGTTTTGCAGGCGAGGGGCAGAACTGCTCCACAAACCCCTGCAGGAATGGAGGCAGCTGTACCAGGGACACCAAGTCCTACCACTGCGACTGCCGCCCGGGATTCAAGGGCCAGCTCTGCGAGCTGGGTGAGTGCCATGCTGCTGTGGACACCCTGTGCCCACCTGGTGGCTGTACCAGCCACAGGTCCCAGGTCACCCAGCACACCCCGACAGCACCGAGCTGCTCCCAGCCGCAGGGTCCCACCATACCCAGGCTCTGCTAGAGAGGGCTCTGTTGTGCCGACAGCGGCAAGAGGGGCTGGGCTCTGCTCTTGCCAGTCCAGGCAGATCTGGGAGCGCAGGTCGGCGGAGCCCTCCGCCTCCCCCCAGCCTGGCAAGCCGGGCTCCTGCCCTGGGCTCTGCAAGGCTGGGGGCTCTGCCCTTCCCGGGGGGTCAGCTCTGTTGAGCCCAGCCCTCCAGCACAGGAAAGGGCAATGCAGGGGGGGCCTTGGCGGCCCCCTGCCACAGGGCACAGGCAGGCAGGGCCAAAGACAGGCTTGGTGATCGCTCCCCTCTCCTGTAGCCTGCAAGAAGGTGCCACACTCGTGCACACGGCTGTACTCGGAAACCAAGTCATTCCCTGTGTGGGAAGGAGGCACCTGCCACTACCTGTGAGTACTGCCTGCGGGTTGTGCTCCCCCCTTCCCCTCGTGCTCAGAGCCAGGGGATCTCTCCCCGCAGCTCAGCTCTGGGGAAGGGAGAGCAAGTGCGAGGCTGTCTCGGACCCCAGCCGGCAGCTGCCCCCTCCCCAGCACAGGCCGAGCAGCCTCGTACGCCCTTGAGCCCCGCCAGCTGCATTTCAGGGCAGGGAGTTGCTGAAATGCCATCCCCGTAGCGGGTTTCCCACCTCCACAGCAGCACGGTTGGAGTTGGTGTGTGTGACCCCTCGCCCTGCCAAGCAGCAGCGGATCCCCTGCCTGCCTGGCTCCTAGCTGCCCTTGCGTCTGCAAGCAGAGGGCTGGGGCCAGCCCTGAAACCGGGGCATGGGGGCCCTCTGCCCTCCCCCCCCCCACCCACTCAGCCTTCCTGCAATGGGGGCACAAGGGCCTGGCTCTGTGGGGTCAGCCCCATTCCCACCAAGGCTGGTACCATAGCCTGGAAGGAAACAGGGGAGACCAAGACCCGCCCTGACTCCTTCCCTCGCACTTCTAAAAACAGATCTGTCCCTGTTATTCCATGTAAACCCCCCTCTGCTGTGTGTGCAGGTACAGGAGAGTCTACAAGGTACACCAGGACGTCTGCTACAAGGAGAACTGCGAGAACACTGGGTCCGAGAAGCCAACCAGCAGGTATGGCGAGTGGCAGCACCCTGAGCGTGCCAGCCTGCCCGGGGCCGGGGACAGAGCACGCAGCCCGATGGTGTCACTCAGCACGCGGTGCCCATGCTGAGGGGGTGCGGGGGTGGACTGGGAGAGGGGTCCAGGCACCCCATACAGAACAGAGCACGAGGAGCACACGCCCGAGGCTCAGCCACCAGCTACATGTGCCGCCCCTGCGGGGCTGACGCTGCTCTCCTCCCTTCTGTTTCAGAAAACCAAACAACAGTCACACACTGAAGAAGCCATAGAGTGAGTACCTGCTCCCGGCTGGCTGCGGGCAAGGGGAGGGCCC